CCTGCAGTGGGAAAGACGTGGGATTTGTTGTGTGTGCGCGCTCGCGGGCTTGAATGCAGGCGAAAGCAAGCCGACGCACAGAGGGCCGTGTCCCGGACCCCACCGGGCTGACGTAGCAATGTAGGCTCTTTTGCGTTCGTTGGCTCTCAGCGTTGTAGGTCCCCTGGCCTTGGTGTGTCTGTGCAGAGTCAGGTCCTGCCCTGTCCTGCTAGATCCCCTCCTTTTCTTTTGTGACCACCAGCCAGGGTAGAGTGCCCTTGTCTCAGCTGGGGCGGGGTGCGGGGTGCTGGGGGGAATGGCGGGGAGCAGGGAGGAGCCTGCCTTGTTTCACCTGTCCCTTGTCTGTGGACACTAGGGCCCTCTCTTCTTCCTTCCTCCCTTCCTCCCTGTCATGGATGGAGGCGCCGCGCGCCGAGGCGTGCAGAGTCGTAGTTACCCAGGTGCCAGGTGTGCGTGGTGGCGTCACCGGGGTTCGTTTTCCGGGCTCGGCGTCCACCCGGAGCAAAGCTGTGGGGTAGCTCTTCACTCGCACTCCCCCCCCTCCCCCCCCCGGTCCCAGGACACAAGGCCTCGTCCCCGGGAAGTCAGTGCAGTGGAGCTGTGTGCGGCCTGGGATGGGAGAGCTTGGTGACTGCTTACCAGCCCGTCATAGGAGCTGCCTGTCAGTGCAGGGTCTGCCTTTCCAGTTGCGGTGGAGGACGCGGGCTTGCCAAGTTACCCATCGCTATCCCGCCACAGTCCCTCGGGGTCCAGAGCCGAGGAGGAGAGCTCTGCGGCTATAAACGCTAAGGTGATGGCTGTGGTTCCCACGGAAGACAGATTGGTGGTGGGGGGAGGTATGATCCAGGTTTGACCCGACACGGTCCTTCCTGTAAGAGCTCCTTCCGTCCGACACCCGCGCAATTTGCAAAGGACGAGTGCGGGTGACTTTTCACACCCTGCTTTCCTCGGAAGTTTTGCTGGTCCCGGGGAGCTGGTACGAATAGTCACCGAAGACACTGTCGAGGTTGCCTGGGCCGGGGCTGCACGCGGCCCGTTGTTAACCAGCAGCGTGGCGGTCCCGCACTGAGTGAAGGGCGTTGGGCTCTCTCGTTGCAGAGGAGGCAGAGCGGAAGGAAAGGAGAAGGGACATCATCGGGGACGTCGGTCCATCTCTAGGCGCTGGTGTTCTGGGTGAGTGAGTGCTTTCTGGTCCCTTCGTTCTCCTCTTCCAAGAGAGTTTACTTCATCATGGGAAAGAGGCAGTGATTCTGGTATGTCAGCAAGCCTCGAGGAGGAGAGACTCCCAAGGTAGGTGCCTGGCAGCGGGGGGGACCCTGGTGTACTAGGCCGGAGTTTTCCGCCGTGGCAGAGAAAGGCTCTCGAGGCAGGTCCTGATTGTGGAGTGGGAAGGAAGAGATGCTTGGACGAGCATGTGGATCATCCGTGTACATGTGGGCGATCGGCACGTGGAAACTGAGGTCGGTGTCCTGCAGGACCGGGGAGAGTGGAGAGGAGTTGGGCCCGGGGCGTCTGCACCTGCGTCCGGGACCCAGATTGGCCTCCAGCTTCTGTGAAGCTTAACTGCCAGCGACGTGATCATTCGGCCGCCCACCTCACCCACGAGAAGCCGCGGTCTCAGCCCCAAGGGGGCACAGGCGGTTGGTGACCCTTTGAGGAGATCCAGGCCTGTTAGGCCTTTGGCCTTTTGCGCTGTGAGGGCAGGAGCCCCGTATGCCTGTTCCTCCCCTCGCCTCCTGATCACCCTTGGGCCCAGCTCGCTCCACCCTGGCACTCGCCCAGGCCGGGAAGGCCATGGGAGGGCGCTCTTGCTGGATTATTGAGAGGTTGCGCCGGCTGGGCGTTTGGGAAGGGGGATGCGGACGAGACTGGGTGACCCGTGAGATTGTGTCTCGCCAGGCACCGGCCGGACGTGACTCGAACTCTGTGCCCACACTCAGTGTGTCTCCCAAGGTCTTCGGCCTGGGAACCGAC